CTTCATTGATGGACACTGTCACAGTTTCTGATGATCACAGGGGTCAAAAGCATACATAGGTCGAAAAATACGACTGTTGTTGGCGGTTGGAAAGAGTAATGCAGTTCCGACACTGGTCGCAAGCTGAGAATACGATCAATGAAACTCCCGTCAGGGCAAAACCCAGCTTGATCCCCAGGAATCTAGCTCTCCCGATTACGGATAAACCCGTGTAAGATGGTGCCAGAGAATATGTTTGAAGCTATATACTCTGGGCTGATGCCATGCTTGTGTTTCGTTCGATGTTCTTGAACCATTTTTAAAAATGGAAATCACTGTTGTGGTGTTCAGTTTTGTTGGTCTTCTTCCCTCACTCCATATGTTTTGAAGTAGTCTTCAGGACCCCGACCTAAAGCTGCCACCTTGACGTGGTGGTCGGGCTTCAGTGCTGCAATGATCCCGCGGGCTACACTGGCTGGAACTTCGTTCCACAAGGTGCAACCATGCCAGGAAGGCCAAAGNAGTGGCATTCCTGCAGTGCCACACTACCGTGGGCCTCGGATGAACTTCCTTTAAAATGTTAGAACTTCGTGACACAAGTCCAAAAAAGCTTTCATTTTCATTCAATCTCTTACTTATGGATACTAGCCAAGAACCAGAAACAGGTATATAATTTAACATAATCTGAAGGGAGCATCGACTGGAGTAATAAGACGTACCAAAGGATAACTACGTTCCCACCTGATATGGTATGAGTAACGTAGCTAGACAGTTAGTAATTCAAATACCACATTAAAATTTCATCAGTTTTTCGTTTCAACCCACATTTCCCTAGGCAACGCCTTACTATTCCAAGACAAGCAATATAAGGACTGGAGGTTTCAACTTACCCGGAATGGCTCATTCAGTGTGGACACATTTTTTCTGATCTCGTAAGTTCTCTTTGCTTTGAAACTACATTTTTCTGAGCGAAAAATTTCTGCAGCGTTTTTATCCAGCCGTGATTTAAGGATCAAATGGTGGAAAGTTCGGGATTGGCAGTAAAAGGAAGGTCATCCAATTTTTTTAGGAAATTTTAGGAAGATCAGTTGAACGAGTAAAGTCCAAGAAAAGATGATAGTGGTGTCAATAATATACAATAGGTCAGTACACTAACTCTAAGTTTCTTGAAAACTCTTCGACAACCCACGACCTGTGTCACCCTTCTTGAGGCTCATTAGGTAGCCGCAGTCCTCGAGTTTCCGTTAATTTTTATGTTCTACTTGAACCCAAACTGTACTAAATGGGCGAAATACGCTCATAATAATTTGATTTTGACCGGAGACTCACCCGGAACTCAGCTGACTCTTGTTTATGATGTATTTAAGCACTGAATGTGCTGCACCGGACCGACTAACGTTTTAGTTGCCAGGATAATCGAGATATCGCAACACATTGTATATACGTGACACACTACTCATAGGGCCTTCAAGTGAAACACGAGGCGGCCTGGTGCAGCACATTCACTGCTTAGATACATCATAAACGAGGGATTCATCTGGGTTCCTGGTGAGTCTGCCGTCAAAACCAAATTAGTATGCAAGTGGGTGTAGTTCGCCAAGCGGTAGATCATTTGAAGAAACAAATTCAGCCACCTTATCCATGGGGTGGCTCTGAGATAGGGGACCGGAGGTTGAACATTCCCACAGATATTCTGCAAGTGTCTGACCCACATGCATATTTTTGTTTCAGTAGGCAACATTCTGGGTGAAACAATCATATGCGATGTTATGGGCCCCGTGGTTTCTCCTGGTCCCTTTACTTACTCAATTTTGAGTGATTGTCCGCGGACGAATGTGTGCAAGTAGCTGTCATGGATTCCTAATCCGAACATATGCTGATCCTGATTATGACAAAAAATCCAGGTGACCAGAGTTTATGATTTTGGGCCAGTTCGGTGGGTGAAAATGGTGACTGTTGTCGAAATTGATCATCCCATTGTGTGTTCAACTTGGTTTTCAAATTTAAGTTCTTATCCGTTACGTCGTGTGTTCCCATTGTTGTCTATAAGATCGCGGTGTAGCATTAGAGCTATTACGTCAGTAATTCTCAGTGTTCTGAAGGGAACGTTCCATTATTTATTCATATTTGGATGGTCTCTTTAACCCCACCATGAAATACCTCAACATTTATCTCTTATTCGTCTCATTTTAGGGGTCTACTTTCGTGTTATATCCTCATACCAAACAGTGAGAAATGCACAGGAATCTGCGCCAAAATTTGGTTCTGGTTACACTATGCTGTTCACCGATTTCTGAGGTAGGTTCCATATGTTCTGTTCCTGGCTTGAGCTGAGGTTGCAAGGTCCTTATTTGGTCACTGCTCTGTATGTGTTCCGGCTGCTAAATAACACAAGAATTAGGCCAGCCTAACGGATCATCTGTTTGCTGAACACCTCCTCACTGTTCTCAACTTCGCGAACTTTCGCAGCCGTAGTTAAATTGATATAATAGTAAGAGTGAGACTATAGTTCATCTTTGAATAATTTATTTCCACGTCTTAAAACCTTGCTTGGGTGTCAGCAAAGGCACTCTTGCAAGTTTTGAAACTATGAACCGGAATGGATAAATGGGAGCAGTCGTTCACCACTATGGTTTCTCCTTCGAATTCCACCATCTTATGTAGCTTGTCAAAATAGTAAATTTCCATGGATTTGTGAAACACTGGTTGAACCAACCCACTTCAAATGTTTAACAATTAGCCACCTCGAACTTGTTTACCATGATTATTCAGGCACCTTCATCCTCGGAGTTCAAACTATTTCATGACATTCCTGATAGACTTGAATATGTAGCCGGACGTCACCCGATGGAGTCGAAATTAAACTCAAATGTTTGTTGAGGCCAAGATCTAGAATGTCGTCAGCATAAGACTTGTAAAGTATGACACTTTCAGTTTCGCCACAAGCTTGTTTCTCTACCTCAGGAGAGGACGATAGGATGCGTCAGACGTAAAAGAATGTGTCTGAAAAATCCTCAACCTGACTGTGTACACCCTCGGGGAATTAAAAACGTGTAATGTATTCAAAAGGAAGACTAATGCCACTATGCTGAGTTGATCGGACTCACAGTGGATAGCTTGAGTCAACTAAAGAATCATCATGGTGGTATGTTATAAAGAACCACTGCTGACTCAACAATGGTCCTGAATGAGTGGCTTTGACCATATGCTCTTAAACCTCTGAGTCGGATGAGAAAGCTTAACATCGACTTTAACATATTAGAATAGGCTTGAACAGAGACTTCCTTTTTTGACACTTTGAGCCGCTATCCAGCATTTTTTTTCTTATAGACGGACCATCTCAATAGGCTATGTTCGGAAATTACTACAGAGGTTTCAGGGTTAACTAATGAGGGCTTTAATCAGGCGATGGAGATTGGTAAACTCAGCTTTCTGTGATAACTTACAGCTCATGTAAATCGTCCACTTTGGAATAACTCAGTTTAATACCAATCCACACAGTAACATTAGCGACGTTTTTCTGGTTGCTAAAGATAACCAGTGACAAGTGACCAATCACGAGAGTGATATTTTGTGCATCCTCTCTGCACATTGAGATTACAGCCTAATACAAAGCGGTTTTCTTGTATGAAGTAGCCAGTGTCTGTCATCAAAATAATGTGACGTTAACTGAGCTTCGCTATTCATAGGCATGCGTTGGAATGCTAGGGAATTTTCAAGCTTGTGCAGGAGCAGGCGAACAGGACGCTCGTTCCAAGATTATCAACCCATGGACAGAATCTTTTCAACAAAACAACGCTTGAAAAAATATGAATACATGCGGTAGTGCATTAACCAAGATGTCATTTTTCACATCCACCTGTCCTACACTGAGCGAATATGACGACTTGAGTAGCACTAGTGATCAGACACTTCAGCTTTATTGTGGAGTTTCCCTTTGAAGTCGAAGGGAAGATTGGTGTATTAGTTTGGTAGTTGAAAACCAAGCTACTCCGTTAGATCGACAGTTTTGCTGCCAGTTTGGTTGCCACTTCACATGGATAATGGTGATGTCTTCCCGATTGCTGATAAATATTTGTAAGTTCCTGCGGTGTGCGGATCCTCATGATGCTTCAACCCATACAGAAAAATTAAAAAAGACCCTCCTTTTCCAACCCCCTCACTTGACAGCCCACTGACAGTGCTGGATTTATGCACCAATTTACCAGCTCGCGCGTGCAATGCGCAGCTACCTACCCCCCCAATCATCGGTGAACGAAACTGTGGCAGCTACAACCAGTGTACGACCAGTACGCGGTTCTTACAGCTGACAATGATGATGATGATGATGAGTCTTCAGGATGGTCAGAAGCTTCTTTGAACAGCGCAGGGTCAAAACGTCTGGTGCAGGTGCTTTGCTGCGCGGGAGCAGAGATCACTCGCTGCACTTCTATGGTGAATGTCAATGGTGGACTGATGTCGACATCCCACCCTCCTTCCGGAGGTTGAGTTGACGCGGTTCGGCTGAAATGTTCTTCAGTACCCAGCCCTTCGTTCGGGATAACGTTTCTGTGAACGGGGCGAAGTCTCATCGTCCTAGAGGATCGTAACGGGCCAATTGATGGGACTATCCGGAGAAAGGTGCGACTGTTCAACGTTGCAAAACCCTTTTCCTCTTCCAGGGCATTTGTGATCCATTATTGCTCTGTCAAACCTTAGGCTCTTCGTTATTCGGCCTTCAACCCTGAAAATCCCACAACTATTTACACATAACTACAGTGGTTACTATCGATTTCCGAAAGTTGTTTAACTGGGACCGTAGAATCTCAGTTTCAGCTGCACAACCCAGTTTGTTGGGTCTGAACGATGTCTTACTGACCGACGACAGTGGACTTTTATTGGTTTTCTCACCCTTGCCTCTGTAGACTCTTATCTATCTCCTATCCTTTTGTGCATTCAACATTACTTGTTTCATAAGCTCTCTTAATTCACATTCCGTTCCACTTGATGAATTTGATTAACTGGCTTTATTCATCCAAGGGCCCTCTAGGGTTACTCGGAACGATTCTTTCGAATCATTCTCCGGATCTACTTCATCCACTCCTTCATGGTTACCACTTGCTGGACTGCAAAATGCAAAGGGTAATTGGGATTTGAATGCGAGCCTGGCCAAAGTGTTTGAAATACAACTGAAGCAGCTACGATCTTCACGGCCTGTCTCATGTAAGTCACTTGGTCCAGTTTTTCGGTGTGATTTTAAGTGCACGACTTGTTACCTTTTGATAGTATTAGGTCATAGTTCATTTCACTTCCACAGAATGTTCGTTTACTTGGTTATCGCTTGCATACTTAAAGGAGATACTTCACTATTTGATACTTTCTAAATGGACGGTGAGAAACAGTTAACAGAAAGAGTGCGTGATCTATGGGTGACGTCCCTAAGTATGCGGTTCAAAACAGGCAGAGATTTTACGAAGGTGAGAAGTCTTGAAGCAGTCCCTCTCTAATGCAGTAATGCTGAGCAAACCCATGGCTTACTCAACTAACAGACGTCAAACTGAGGTGAGACACCAAACTATCAGTGAGTCTTGGTGAGGGTTTTCAAGCAGAACATGCTCTGGTCGATATGGTCTAGGTGTTTGAGTCTGAAACCGCACCATTATCCTGCTCGAACGGGGATGGATGTCGTTCTGCGCTAGACACAGCACTCAAAATGAGTAGGTTTGAAGACACTGCGTCCCTGATCGTTGACCGCATCCTCTCAGGTTTGTCAAAACTATGTTGGGAAAGTCAGGCCAACCAACACACTCTGTGCAGCACAGACCCATGGAGATACTTTCCGAAGAGCTAGCAATGGACGATGCAAGAAGCTCTGTGGATTTTCAGTCATGGTTGCGATGTCAAGTGAACCAATGCATCAAAATCGCAACTGGAACTTAATTGGCTGGTTCCGTACCCCTGGGTCCATCAGACAGACTAATATGAGGACTAGACTGGAGGAACCTTAATAAATTACTTACACCACGAACTTCGTGAGGTGATCCACCGTGGCCTTTACAACCGACACCCTCAGGAACTTGAAAGTCAGCAAGAGTGGGATACTGTTGCGGCGGTGTCTGACGTGGCAGCCGGTTACTGGGTACAAGTTTAGAATGCAAGTTTAGACAGTGACACTCCATGCACGGAAAGGTATTGGAATTGTACCTTGAACGAGATCAAACTAGAAAAAAGTGGTCGTTTGGGTCTAGGGAGATTCACTGACAATGCTGCGTTCATTGCTGCTGCGACTCGCTGCTGAATTTGACATGGCCGTGCGTTTGACAGCATTGGCCTGTTTTCTCTACGAAAAATTCCACATTGAAGAAATTACAAGTCATGTATGAGACAACGAACTTGATAGGCAATAATCGACTGAGAATGATGTGCATTTTAAAGGCTTTCAAGTTAGGGACCGAGGGCAGTATGGTCATTTGGGTCGACTAAATAAAGTGTTCAAACCAAAGATCGGACACGTGGAAGCACACGAGCATACGCCGTTACGGCTAGCAGTAAAAGGAAGAATCTGCACATTGCTGGTACAGTATCGGTCACTGACGGCTTCACTGTCAAAAGAGGTTTGTATAGGATCATTGCTGTAAATCAAGGTAAATCAAGGTTATATTGGTCTAAAAAGCATTTTGCTTTACAATGACCAAAGGATATTGGTGTGTGTATGTATACAGATAAACGGAATGATATGACATATATGTTCTATTGTTTGTAATCTGCATCTCAAATGTTGATGAGGGAAGTTGGGTGAGATCTTATGTAAGTAGCGGGTGCGAGAGCTGTTGATAGGTTTCCTGCCACAAGGCATCGATGAGCTAGGCATGGTTTGCGATGATTTTCCCTGCCACTAGATGCTGGAGGAAATCTTCGAAGATCTGCGACAATGACGTACCTAATGCCGTGCACGTCATTTTTCAGCTCAAATGGAGTTCAGAAACTGATATTTATCCTTGGTGTATGAAACAGATTTGGGTCACATTAAAAATATGTGAGACAAGGGTACCAGGATATGCTTCAAGGTGGTCTGAATGGAGGGCTCGTCAACCAAGAGCGATGGCTGGGGTTTTATAGAGCGCACGATAGTACTCAAATGCTAGCTTTTAGAGCGCACGATAGTACTCAAATGCTAGCACTGCGGCTATGAGGCTGATGGCATTCTACCATTTTCCGTCTGATGAAAGTTTTATCCCAGTAATAAGAAGCCAGGATGTTTGTGGTGTATGTTTACTATGCCTTCAAATCACACTCTTTTGAACAACCTTTCCCTTGCATTTGCACGATTAATTTAACTAGTCCGCATCACAGTGGGATGGAGTTTAGCTCTTAGCGGAACTAATCCCCATTGCATGTCTGCTGAATGTAGAGACGCGTCATATAACTGAGGAAATCTGGATGAAATCGGAAGCAATAATGAACAAAGAACAACGAATAGCCTATTTCACCCATGTACCCTGCTTGCAATGCATAAAAAAACTAACTCACACAATCACATAGACGTGTTAAATTTTCTCTACTCACGAACCGTGTATTAGGATTTTGCTATAACAATGAGGGCGATATTTGATGCGACGTTGACCTAAATCGCCGAACTCGTAGAGCTCATCACTGGGTTACTGCTGATATCAGATTTTCGTGATGCTACATTCGAGTTGGTCGCTCTCTCCAGGAGGTGTGAACAAGTTCTGGATCGCTTGGTAGGTTAATCGCGTGCCAAGATCATTAAATGAGAGGTATATTTGACAGAAAAGACAGTCGCTTGTTATCTTCACTGACTCCTCCCAACGACCAGCGTAGTGGGAATGGTGTATCCTCATAACACGCATGAGTTTCTCCCTATGCAATGTAGGTCCCATGTTGAACGAAAGCTTCCCAATCGATAGCGAGCGGATAATAGCACTCAGAGAATTCGTGCAAACACTTGCGGTATACTTAACTGGATGGCGTCCTGGAACAAATTACTCGTGTGATGCATAATCTGGTGTACGCTTCATTGTCACTTATTACTCCGCTGAGCGTCACTACTCTGCGCCTGGGCGCTTAAAACCATCTATCTCTCATTCGTGTGATATCAGTCCCCTTCAAGTTCAAAAGCACCACTGAGGTGCGATATCGCCCCAAATGAGGATCACTGGTTTGGAGTTGGACACCCAAACTATGATTAATATTTTATACACTCATCTGCACCGTCACGAAGAGACTGGACCTTACCGTGGTGTGACGGTTTGCGCACCTCAGCGATCCATTGAGCTATACTGGAGAGTGTCCCGCGACA